TTCTCTCTTTTCCTAATTATTTTCCAAATAAATAACTTTAAGGTGTAAGGTTATTTATTTGAATTTTATCGATTATTATTAAATTTTCCTCTAAGCATTGTTTTTACTGTATCCTATAAGTTTTGGTATGTTGGGAATGTTTTTCATTTGCCTCAAAGTATTTTTTTTCCAGTTTTACTGAGATAAAATTGATATACAGCACTGTATAAGTTTAAGGTGCACAGCATAATGATTTGACTTACACTGTGAAATGATTACCACAATAAGTTTAGTAAATATTCATCATCTCATATAGATAAAAAAAAAAGAAGAAAAAATTTTTATTCCTTGTGATGGACTTCTTAGGGTTTTCTCTCTTAACAACTTTGAAATATATCATACAGCAGTATTAACTATAGTCATCATGTTGTAAATTTCATCCCCAGTACTTATTTATATTATAACTGAAAGTTTGTATGTTTTGCCTATCCCCTTCCAATTCTTCCTCCCCTCACACCACTCCTATGGTAATCATAAATCTGATCTATTTTTCTATGGGTTTGTTTTTTGTTTGCTTGTTTATTTTTTAGATTCCACATATGAGGTCATACAGTATTTGTCTTTCTCTTTCTGGCTCATTTCACTTAGCATAAAGTGCTCAAGATTCATCCACTTTGTCAAACATGGCTGGATTTCCTTCTTTTTTATGGCTGAATAATATTTCAAAGTGTTTCCCTTGTGATTTCTTCTTTGAACCATTGGTAGCTGAAGAGTGTTTTGTTAACATCTACATATTTGTACATTTCCAAAATTTCCTTGTTATAGATTTCTAGTTTCATTCCTTTGTGGTTGGTGAACAGACTTTGTATGATTTCAATCTTTTAATTTATTCAAATTTATTTGTGGCCTAACCTACAATCTATCTTGAAGACTGTTCCATGTGGCCTTGAAGAAAATATGTATTCCGGTATTGTTAGGTGGAATGTCCTGTACATGACTGTTAGGACTAGTTGGTTTATAGTGTTGTTCAAGTCCTCAATTTCCTTATTGATCTTCTGTCTAGTTGTTCTGTCCATTATTAATATTGGGGTATTATTATATAACTGTCTTTTTCTTCCATCAATTCTGACAAGGTTTGCAGGTTTGCTTCATATATCTTGGGTTCCTTCCTTCCTTCCTTCCTTCCTTCCTTCTTCTTTCTTTCTTTCTTTCTTGTGTGTACATTTATAATTATTATGTTCTTGAGGAAATAATCTTTAACCAATATGCAATGTACTTACTTATTTCTATTAACAGTTTTTAACCTATTTTTTATATTAGTATAGCCACCTCAGCTCTCATTTAGATACTATTCACATGAAATATCTTTTCCATCCTTTTATTTTCAACCCATTTGTGTCTTTAGATCTACAGTGATTTTCATAGACAGCATATAGTTTGATCATATTTTTAAAATTCATTCTACCAATTTCTGCTTTTTTATAGATCAATGGCAAATTTTATATATATATATAATTTTAATACTTATGTTTTTACCATCTTAAGCATTTTTAAGTTTACAGTTCAATAGTGTTAAGTATATTTACATTATTGTGAAACATATTTCCAGAGCTTTTTGTCTTGTAAAACTGAAACTCTATACCTATTAAATGACAACTCCCCTTTTCCCCCTACTTATCCCTTGGTAACCACCATTCTACTTTCTATCTCTATGAATTTGACTATTTTAGATACCTCATATAAGTGGAAACATATAGCATTTGTCTTTTTGTAACTGGCTTATTTCACTTACTATAATGTTCTCAAGTTTCATCCATGTTGTAACATGTGTCAGAATTTCCTTCCTTTTAAAAGCTGCATAATATATCATTCTATACATATACATCACATTTTCTTTATCCATCCGTCAATGAACATTTGAGTTGCTTCCACCCCTTGTCTATTATGAATAATGCTGCAATAAACATTGATATGCAAAAATTTTTTGAAGACTCTGCTTTAAATTTTTTTGTGTATGCACCCAGAAGCAGAATTGCTAGATAATAAGGTAAATTTATTTTGAGGAACTTCCATAGTATTTTCCATAACAGCTGCACCATTTTTACATTCCAAACTACATACACAAGGGTTCAAATGTCTCTTCACCAACACTTGTTATTTTCTGTTTTGTTGTTTTTTTTATAGTAGCTGTATTGGTCAGGGTGCTTCTGAGAAACAGAACCAGTAAGATGTATGTGTATGAAGAGATTTATTATAAGAAATTGGCTCATACAATTATGGAGGATAACAAGCCCCAAGATCTTCAGGGTGAGTTGGAAAGCTAGAAATCCAGGAGAGTTGATGGTTTAATTCCAATCCTAGTCTGAAGGCCTGGGAAACGAGAGACAACTGGGTCATTCCAGTCCAAAGGAGGGCAGGCTCAAGTGTCAGGAAGATCTAATGTTTCAGTTTGAGTCCAAAAGCAAGAAAAAAGCCACTCTCCCAGTTCAAAGACTCTCAGGAGGACAGAATTCTCTTACTTGGGAAAGGGTCAGCCTTTTTATTCTATTTAGGACTTTGAAATATTAGATGAGATACACCTACACTGTAGAAGGCCATTTGCTTTACTCAGTCTATCAATTTAGATGTTAATCTCATCCAAAACACCCTCACAGAAACACCCAGAATAATGTTTGACCAAATATTTGAATACAATCATGGCCAGTCATGGTGACACATAAAATTAACCATCATGGTAGCCATCCTAATGGGTGTGATGTAGTTTCCACTTCCTTTTTTTCCCCCAGATTTTTTAATTTTATTTTTTAAATTTTTTATACAATTTTAAAGGTTACTTTCCATTTACATTTATTACAAAATATTGACTATATATTCCCCATGTTGTACAATACATCCTTGAGCCTATCTTACATCCAATAGTTTTGTACCTCCCACTCCCCCACCCTTATATTGCCCCTCCCACTCACTGGTAACCACTAGTTTGTTCTCTATGTGAGTCTGCTTCTTTTTGTTATATTCACCAGATTGTTGTATTTTTTAGATTCCCCATATAAGTGATATCATACAGTATTCATCTATCTCTGTCTGACTTATTTCACTTACCATAATACCCTCCAAAGTCCATCCCACGTTGCTGTAAATGGCAAGCTGTCATTCTTTTTTTTATGGCTGATTAGTATTTCATTGTATGTGTGTGTGTGTGTGTGTGTGTGTGTGTGTGTATATATATATATATATATATATATATACACCACATCTTTATCCATTCATTTGTTGATAGACACAGATTGTTTCCATATGTTGGCTATTGTAAATAATGCTGCTACAAACATTAGGGTGCATGTATCTTTTCAAATTAGTGGGGTGTTTTTTTTGATATATACCCAGGAGAGGAATTGCTCAGTCATATGGTAGTTCTAGTTTAGTTTTTTGAAAAACCTCCATACTGTTTTCCACAGTGACTCCACCAACTTACATTCCCACCAACAGTATAAGAGGGTTCCCTTTTCTACACATCCTTGCCAACATTTGTTATTTATACTCTTTTGCTGATAGCCATTCTGACAGGTGTGAAGTGATATCTCATTATGATTTTGATTTGCATTTCCCTGATTATTAGCAATGTTGAGCCTTTTTTCATGTGCTTGTTGGTCATCTGCATTTCCTCTTTGGAAAAACATCTACTCAGTTCTTCTGAATAGTTCTTCTGCCCGTTTTTAATTGGGTTGTTTGTTTTTTCTGATGTTGAGTTGTATGAGCTATTTATAAATGTTGAATATTAACCCCTTATCAGTCATACCATTTGCAAATATTTTCTCCCATTCAGTACGTTGTCTTTTCATTTTTTCAGGTTTCCTTTGCTGTGCAAATGCTTTTAAGTTTAATTAGGTCCCATTTGTTTATTTTTTCTTTTATATCCTTTACTTTAGGAGGTGGATCCAAGAAAAAATTATTGCTAAGATTTATGTCAAAAAGTGTTCCTCCTATGTTTTATGTTTCCATTTACTTTTAAAGTAATTACTGATGAAGAAGAACTTACTTCTTCCTATTTGCTATTTTTTTCCTATATGTCATATCCTTTTTGTTCTTCATTTTTTCTATTACTGCTTCCTTCTGGGTTTAATTGATTTCTTGATAGTGTACCACTTTCATTCCTTTCTCATTCCCTTTCTGCATATTTTAGTTATTTTCTTAGTAGGTGACATTGAGATCTATAATTATTTCTATAATATACAATATATATAATATGCAATATGATATACAAATATATACAATTAAATTATAATAATTAATTTTTAATTAATACCACCTTTGCTTCAATAGTATACAAAAACTCTGCTCTTATACATTCCCATTCTTTTCCCTTCATGTTGTTACAAATTACCTTTTTATACATTTGGTGTTCATTAACATAGAGTTATAATTATTGTTTTATGTATTTAAAAGAAAAAAATATATATATAAGAGGAGTTATAAATCAATAATACAATAATACTATACAATGCAACAATACTTTTATATTTTCCTATGTAGTTAACTTTACCAGAGTTCTATACTTCTTGTATGACTTCAAGTTACTGTCCAGTGTCTTTTTATTTCAGTGTGAATGACTCCCTTTAGCAATTCTTGTAGGACAAGGCTACTAGCAACAAATTTCCTCAGGTTTTGTTATCTGGAATGTCTTAATTACTCCTTCATTTTTGAGGACAGTTTTACTGGATATAGAATTCTTGGTTGACAGGCTTTTTTCCCTTTCAACACTATAAATATCCCATCCCATTTTCTTTGGGCCTCCATGATTTCTAAAGCTAAATTGGCTGTTAAACTTATTGAGGACCCCATTGTATGTGATGAGTTGCTTCTCTCTAACTGCTTTCAAGATTCAACCTGTCTTTGTGTGGACATCTATTCATCAATTCTTCTTGGAGTTCACTGTTTCTTAGAATTGTAGATTCATGACTTTTATTAAATTTGGGACAGTTTTTGGTCATTATTTCTTAAAATATTCTTTCTGCTCTTCTCTCTCCTTTCCTTATGAGACTATCATTATGTGTTTCTTGGTACACTTGATGGTATCCCACAGATCCCTTAGACTTTGTTCATTTTTCTTTATTCCTTTTTTTTCTCTCCTCAGATTGGATAATTTTAATTGCCCTACTTTTAAGTTCACTACTTCTTTCTTCTGCTTGATCAAATCTGCTATTGAATATGTCTACTGAATTTTTAAATTTCAATGATTGTACTTTTCAGCTCCAGAATTGCCATTTGGTTCTTTTATCTAGTTTCTGTTTCTTTACTGATATCCTCTATTTGTTAAGACATCATCCTCCTGGTTTCCTTTAGCTCTTTGTACATGTTTAAGACAATAGATTTACTAATCTTTGTCTAGTAAATCCAATGTCTGTGCTTCCTCTGGGACATTTAGGTTAATTTGTTCTGTGAATGGGCCATACTTTGTTGTTTATTTGCATGCTTCATGACTTTTTGTTGAAATATGAACATTTTGAATATTATAATATGGTAAGCCTAGAATTCAGATATTTTACCTCCTCTGTGTTTGTTTTTGTTGCTTGTTGTGGGTTGTAGTTGTTTTTTTTTTCTTAGTGACTTTTATAAACTATTTTTATAAAGCCTGTATTCTTTTTCATGTGTGCTTTCTAAAGTCTCTTTTCCTATAACTTGTGGTCAGCTAGTCTCCTTTTTAAGGAGATTTCCTTGAATGTCTGGAGCCACAAAAAAAGAAGAAAGAAAGAAAAAAAAACCACTATCCCAGACCTTGCAAATTGGTTTTTTATTAACGCACTCCTGCAACACTTAACCAAGTCATTTATAACTGCCTTACCTTTCACTCACTGCTAATGTTGAGCTTAGAGATCAGTCAGATATGACAGATTGTGTTCTTCTCAAGTCTTTTCTGAACTACATCCTGCCCTGGGAACATACATGGCTTTCTAAATTCCAAACTATATACACATGCTTTTTGAATGTCCTAAAGAAATGTCCCAAAGAAACTCTCTCCTAGATTTTCCTCCCAGGCTTTCAGCATATCTATTGTTTGCCTCAATTGTAATGTTTTGACAAAGGTTGCAGCAGGTTATTCAGTTGCCTTATAATGTTTTTGAGGAATGTCCTCTGCATAACCACTTCTCTAGCTTTTTTTAACAGCTTTATTGAGGTGTAATTGATATACAAAACAACTACACATATTTAATATATACAGTTTGATGTGTTTGGATACATGAATGCACCCGTGAAACCATCACCACCATGAAGGTAATAGACATCTCCTTCACCTCTAAAATTTTCCTTGTGTCCACTTTTTCTTTATAATAACACTTAACATGGGATCTACCTTCTTCAAATTTAAGTGCACAATACTGTATTGTTATGTAAGGTGTATAGGTGTTATGTAAGTTCTAGAGATATGCTGTACAACATAGTGCTTTTCTATCTTGAGTGAGTTCTCACGTAGGTGGAACAAAGACAAGCACCTTGCATCAGTTCTTCAGATAGTCCCAAGCAGGTCAGAACAGACAAAATCAATTCTTTGAGCATGAGATCTGCTCTGCTCTATCTGGAACCATGGACCAGAGTTCCACACTGGGAATGCAGATTGCTATCTTCAAGAATGCAGGTGAACTGGGGAAGGGGTTAGGGTAAGGGCAAGTAAAAAATCTGCAAAGTTTCCTACCATTCAAAAATTTTTCCTTTTTTATTGAAATATAATTGACATATTACATTATATTAGTTTCAGGTTGTGCAAGATAATAATTTGATATTTGTATATATTGTGAAATGGTTACTACAAGTCTAGTTAACATCTGTCACCATACTTAGTTACAAAATATTTTTGTGATCAGTACTTTTAAGATTTACTCTCTTTAGCAGCTTTCAAATGTGCAATACAGTATTTTTAACTATAGTCACTATGCTATAAATGATATCCCCATGACTTATTTATTCTATAACTGGCAGTGTGTACCTTTTGACCATCTTCCCACATTTCACCCACCCCCCAACTCTTGCAATTACCAATCTGTTCTCTGTATCTTTGAGCTCATTTGTTGTTGCTGTTTTGTTTCATTTTGTTTTTAGATTCCACATATAAGTGAGATCATAAAGTACTTGCCTTTCTCTGCCTGACATTTCACTTGGCACAATGCCCTCAAGATCCATTCACATTGTCACAAATAGCAAGATTTCCTTATTTTTTGTGGCTGAGTAATATTACAGTGTGTGTGTGCATGTGTATGTTTCTACAGTTGACCCTTGAATAACACGGGGGCTAGGGGTTCTGATTCCCCCACTCACAGTAGAAAATCTATGTATAATTTTACAGTCAGCCCTCTATATCTACAGTTCAACACCCACAGATTCAATCAACCATGAATTGTGTAGTACTGTAGTATGTATTTATTGAAAATAGTCGGTATATAAGTGGACAAGTGCAGTTCAAACCCATGATGCTCAACGGTCAATTGTACATGTAACACATTTTCTTTATTCATCCATTGATGAACACTTAGATTGCTCCCATATGATGACTATTGTAGATAATGCTGCGATGAATATGGGGATGCAGGTATCTTTTCAAATTAGTGTTTTTGTTTCCCTGGGATTTATACCCAGAAGTGGAATTGCTGGATCATATTGTAGTTCTATTTTGAATATTTTGAGGAAGCTCCACACTGTTTTGTATAGTGGCTGTACCAATTTACATTCTCACTAACAATGCACAAGTGTTTGCCTTTCCATATATCCCTGCCAGCACTTGTTATTTGTTGTCTTTTTGATGATAGCCATTTTAACAGTTGTGAGGTGATATCGCATTGTGCTTTTTTTTTAACATCTTTATTGGAGTATAATGGTTTTACAATGGTGTGTTAGTTTCTGCTGTATAACAAAGTGAATCAGCTATACATATACACATATCCCCATATCTCCTCCCTCTTGTGTCTCCCTTCCACCCTCCCTACCCCACCCCTCGAGGTGGACACAAAGCACCGAGCTGATCTCCCTGTACTATGAGGCTGCTTCCCACTAGCTATCTATTTTACATTTGGTAGTGCATATATGTCCATGCCACTCTCTCAGTTCATCCCAGCTTACCCTTCTCCCTCCCTGTGTCCTCAAGTCTATTCTCTACATCTGCATCTTTATTCCTGTCCTGCCCCTAGGTTCTTCAGAACCAATTTTCTTTTTAGATTCCATATATATGTGTTAGCATATGGTATTTATTTTTCTCTTTCTGACTTACTTCACTCTGTATGACAGTATCTAGGCCCACCCACCTCACTACAATTAACTCAATTTCATTTCTTTTTATGGCTGAGTAATATTCCATTCTATATATGTGCCATATCTTTATCCACTCATCTGTTGATGGACACTTAGGTTGCTTCCATGTCCTGACTATTGTAAATAGAGCTGCAATGAACATTGTGGTACATGACTCTTTTTGAATTATGGTTTTCTCCAGGTATATACCCAGTAGTGGGATTGCTGGTCATATGGTAGTTGTAGTTTTAGTTTTTAAGGGAACTCCATACTGTTCTCCATAGTGGCTGTATCAATTTACATTCCCACTAACAGTGCAAGAGGGTTCCCTTTTCTCCACACCCTCTCCAGCATTTATTGTTTGTAGATTTTTTGATTATGGGCATTCTGACCAGTGTGAGGTGATACTTCAATGTAGTTTTGATTTACATTTCTGTAATGATTAATGATGTTGAGCATCCTTTCATGAGTTTGTTGGAAATCTGTATATCTTCTTGGGAGAAATGTCTATTTAGGTCTTCTGCCCATTTTTGGATTGGGTTGTTTGTTTTTTTTGATATTGAGCTTCATGAGCTGCTTGTATATTTTGGAGATTAATCCTTTGTCAGTTGCTTCATTTGCAAATATTTCCTCCCATTCGGAGGGTCTTTTCATCATGTTTATGGTTTCCTTTGTTGTGCCAAAGCTTTTAAGTTTCATTAGGTCCCATTTGTTTATTTTTGTTTTTATTTCCATTTCTGTAGGAGGTGGGTCAAAAAGGATCTTGCTGTGATTTATGTCATAGAGTGTTCTGCCTATGTTTTCCTCTAAGAGTTTGATAGTGTCTGGCCTTACAGTTAGGTCTTTAATAAATTTTGAGTTTATTTTTGTGTATGGTGTTAGAGAGTGTTCTAATTTCATTCTTTAACATGTAGCTGTACAGTTTTCCCAGCACCACTTATTGAAGAGGCTGTCTTTTCTCCATTGTATATTCTTGCCTCCTTTACCAAAGGTAATGTGACCATATGTGTGTGTGGGTATATCTCTGGGCTTTCTATCCTGTTCCATTAGTCTATATTTCTGTTTTTGTGCCTATACCATACTGTCTTGATTACTGTAGCTTTGCAGTATAGTCTGAAGTCCTGGAGCCTGATTCCTCCAGCTCCATTTTTCTTTCTCAAGATAGCTTTGTCTATTCGGGGTCTTTTGTGTTTCCATACAAATTGTGAAATCTTTTGTTCTAGTTCTGTGAAAAATGCCATTGGTTGTTTCATAGGGATTGCACTGAATCTGTAGATTGCTTTGGGTAGTAGAGTCATATTCACAATGTTGATTCTTCCAATCCAGGAACATGGCATATCTCTCCATCTGATTATATCATCTTTAATTTCTTTCATCAGTGTCTTATAGTTCTCTGCATACAGGTCTTTTGTCTCCTTAGGTAGGTTTATCCCTAGGTATTTTATTCTTTTTGTTGCCATGGTAAATGACAGTGTTTCCTTAATTTCTCATTCAGATTTTTTGTCATTAGTGTATAGGAATGCAAGAGATTTCTGTGCATTAATTCTGTATCCCGCTACTTTACCAAATTCTTTGAATAGCTCTAGTACTTTCCTGGTAGAATCTTTAGGACTCTCTATGTATAGTATCATGTCATCTGCAAACAGTGACAGCTTTACTTCTTCTTTTCCAGTTTGGATTCCTTTTATTTCTTTTTCTTGTCTGATTGCTGTGGTTAAATCTTCCAGAGCTATGTTGAATAATAATGGTGAGAGTGGACAACCTTGTCTTCATTCTGATCTTAGTGGAAATCTTTTCAGTTTTTCACCATTGAGAATGATGTTGGCTGTTGGTTTGTCATATATTGCCTTTATTACGTTTAGGTAATTTCCCTCTATGCCTACTTTCTGGAGGGTTTTTTTTTTATCATAAATGGGTGTTGAATTTTGTCAAAAGCTTTTTCTGCATCTATTGAGATGATCATATGGTTTTTCTCCTGCAATTTGTTAAGATAGTTTATCACATTGATTGATTTGAGTATATTGAAGAATCCTTGCACTCCTGGGATAAACCTCACTTGATCATGGTGTATGATCCTTTTAATGTGCTGTTGGGTTCTGTTTGCTAGTATTTTGTTGAGGATTTTTGCATCTATGTACATCAGTGATATAGGATTGTAGTTTTCTTTGCTTTGTGACATCTTTGTCTGGTTTTGGTATCTTTCACTGTGGTTTTGATTTCCATTTCCCTGATGATGTCGAACAACTTTTGATGTGCCTGTTGACCATCTATTTGTCTTCTTTACAAAAAATGTCTATTCAGTTCCTCTGCCCATTTTTAAATCCCATTTTTTTTACTATTTGTCTGAACTCTTTTTATTTTTGTATATTATCCTATATGAGATTTACAAATATTTTCTCCCATTCAGTAGGTTGCCTTTTCATTTTGTTGATGGTTTCCTTTGTTGTATAGAAGCTTTTTAGTTTGATGTAGTCCCACTTCTTTATTTTGCTTTTGTTGCCTTTGCATTTGGTATCAAATCCAAAAAAAAATTATCTCCACTACAGATGTCAAGGAGCTTACCACTCATGTTTTCATCTAGGAATTTTATGGTGTCAGGTCTTATGCTCAAGTCTTTAATCCATTTTGAGTTAATTTTTGTGTATGGTGTAAGATCATGGTCCAGTTTCATTCTTCTGCATGTGGCTGTCCAAGTTGCCTTTTTCCTGATTGAGAATTTTCTTGGTTGCTCTGAAGTTTTGAATATTTTGCATAGTTCTTACAAAGTTGATTCTGACAGAGTTTTGCTCAGTTATTTAGTGTTTCTTTTGAGGAATTGTTCCTGTGCTACCTACTCCACCAATTTTGCTTCCCCTTTGTTTCTTTTAAAACTGTGTCAAAGGCATTTTTATTCTTCAGTGGCAGCTAGAGTAGCCAGCTCTGGACCTGTTTTGCACCAGCCCATTCAGAACTCATGAGAACCTCAGTCTGCTTCCTGAGCTATCATATTGAATGAGATGTCTCTAGTGAGTGTCAGCCGAATCTAAAATTATATTTCTCATTCTCTTGGTAAATAGAACCTTCAAAATCCACACTCACACATTCTTTCCAAGATATCTCCCAATATTCATTAGAAAATCCAGTGATAGTTTTATGGGTGGAATTCTTTTTATTCTGACTCTAATTATTCATACTACTCTATGGATTTTTAGTTTTAATTATATTTAAGTGTGAGCTAAAATTATTGTGGCACACATCAGGAGGAAATAATACTTTCCTACTACAAGTAATAAGTATTTTTATGGGGCCTGTGTTATTTCCCACATACTCCATACTCTCAGGTTAGAAATATTGGAAACCAATTTTATCTTACTTAAGCAAAAAAAGTAAGTCATTAGGATGAAACTAGGGTATGTCACAGAATTCAAGATACCACGGCAGCTCTGGGGACCTCAGCAACAGGAGTGTTTGAGCCTTCCTCCTACTGCTTTGTCATTAAGGTGATATATTTTAATCTCTCTGTGTCTAAGTTCAGAATCACAAGTTTATGAGAGAGAATCTGGTCGATCTTGTTTGGATTAAGTGTATCTATCCTTAAACCATTCATCTATGGCATACATACATAACATGCTACGGTCTGAATGTTTATATTTCCCCAAGATTCATATGTTGAAATCCTCAACATACACTGAATGTAATGGTATTAGGATGTGGGGCTTTGGGACGGTACTTAGGCCATGAGGGTGGAGCTCTTATGAATAGGATTAGTACTGTTATAAAAGAGACATCACAGAGCTCCCTGGTTCCCTTCCACCATGTGATAACACAGTGAGAAGTCAAAAGTCTGCTCCCTGGAAGAGGGCTTTCACCAGAACTTGACCATGTTAGCACCTTGATCTTGGACTTTCCAGCCTACAAACTGTGAGAAAGAAATTTCTATTGTTTATAAGTTACCCAGTCTGTAGTAATTTGTTATAGCAGCCTGAATGGATTAAGACAATATATCTAGAGCTATATTAAATAGATATTATAGATAATAATATATGTATTGTATGTATTAAGAGATTTATTAGTAATTGGCTCATGTGATTGTGGGAGCTGACTAGGCAAATCCAAAATCCATAGGGCAGACCATCAGAAAATATATGTTAGATATCTTGGGCACAAGCTGAAGCTGCTATCCACAGACAGATAATTTATTCTTCTTCGGGGAAGCTTTTACTTTCCTCTTAAGGCCTTACAACTGATTGGATAAGAGCCACCTATACTATCTAGGATAATCCTCTTAAAGTTAACTGATTATAGACTTTAATCACATCTACAAAACACCTTCCACAGCAACAACTAGTTAGTGTTTGAGTGAATAATGGGGGACTGTAGCCTAGCCAAGTTGACACATAAAAGTGACCATCACAATGAGTAAGACCTCATCTCTGTGGCTCTGGGCTCAGGTCTGTAGATTAAAACAGAGTAGTAACCAGAAAAGGAAGAATTGCAGAGATCTGGGGAGGCAATCCTGAGGATACGTTAAAATGTCCACTCAACAGTTCTGAAGTTAACATAAGCAGCATTATAATTTATTGAGACACTAATTTGTGGGGGTTTCTCTGCATATATATATATTTTTTTAAGGTTTTCAAAATAACATTTATTTCTTAAAAGTTAACATGTGCATAATAGGAAACCAAAGAACACAAGAAGCAAAAAACAAAGTCATCCATCATCACAAGCAGTTTACCATTTGATGTGTCCTTCTAGGTCTCGTTTGTATATTTAAACACAACTAAGCATCCATTTTTATGTAATTAAGGTCATACAGTTATGTATCATGCTTTTTCACACATCATGAATATTTACCATTTGAAAGTCCCAAAGCTATGAGTATTTTGATAACCAAAAATACACTACACCAACTCAATCTGGAAGGAAAAAAAATGTAATCCTTTCCTGGTGACGAAAACTTCAGAAAAGACAAAAATGGCAACAGGCCTCTAGATAAAGATATTGGCAGAGTTATGATTAAAATACTACATTCCCTTAACGTTCAATTAAAAATGAGACATAAAGCAACAGAGTACCCACAGTATAATGCTTTTAAGAGGATTCATTATCTGATCTAAACTATTAAAGTATTAGCAAGGAGGTATGTTTCCACTGAATTACTTAACAATATATTCCTATAGTACAGCTAAGAGATGCACACACATCAATGGTTATCATCAAAATATAAAAAGGAACACATCCACATACTTCCCTCCCTTTTATACTCTCTTCTGCCCCTCTGCTGCCAACCTAATGAACAAGTCCTGGTGTACATTTCACAGATGGTTTAACAATTCCATATCCAAGATGCTACTTTTTTACCAATTATAACAAGGATATTTACAAATTGGTTAATTCACTAGCTCTACGTTTTATCATACATTGTCACCTCAGGACTCCTAAAAAGCCTAGATGTTGCAAAATAATGAATGAACCTTGTCCATAGTAAGCGTTGGTACTTTACAAAAATGCACATTTAGACCTATGGTTATAACCTAAAACTGTCCTCTAGATATGGAGATATTAGCTAAGAGCCCTTCCCTTCACCCTTCCTCTTACCCCTCCTCCAGCATATCAGCGACTAAGTACAGGACTATATCTAGCTCCAAGAGGTAAATTAACATAGACGCTCCTAGAAGACACAGCCCTTACTAAAAACCAACAAAAGGGCATTTATTAAGGGGTTGTTTTACTACCTCTACTTTTAATATACTTTGGGCATTAGGACTTGCTTATTCTTTAATACACAGCAATATTAACTAAAACACACAAATAGAACAATGGTTAGACAATCTGAACTTGTCTAAAGACTCATGGGCACAGATCCCTTCTTTGTACTTCCTTCCCTGTCCGCTCCCCACCTCCCCACTACCCAGTGAATAGTCGGCTTACTCTACAAGACTCAAGTTTAACAATTTCCACTCCCCCAATACAACCATTCCTATGAATTAACAGAAAAAAAAATCCTTAAAAGGTGTTACTTTTAACTCTCTATTTTCAACATATGTTGTGCACTTTTACACATCTAGAAAGATTAGATGTTTCAAATACAGACTTAACTTTGTCCACCATGTATACATGTAGTAGCACTGAAGAAACTGCACACAAAGGCTATAGTCACAAAGTGTCTCCTAAACAGGAACACTCTGGCCTAGAAGCTTCCCCTTCTCATCTCTATCAACCCAGTGGACAAGAATAATAAGCAACTGTAATGCTTAGAGGGGATTTTAACAATTTTACTTCCTCCAGTTGTTTTCAGAAGTCTTTCCTATGAATTTTAACACAAAGTGTACACAATGTTATTATCGGCTATTTTTGTCATACACTGGTAACCTCTTTAACATCTAGGAAGACTAGATGTTGTAAATTTGGACCCTCTGTCCTTTATGTGCACTATGTACACAGCCAAGTAAAACAAAACACAGAGACACACCAGACAATGGTTAGTCTTGGTATAAAGCCCTTTACATTTTTTTTCTCCCTGAACTAGCACAAATAAAATAATGTGTACTGCTCAGAGAGGTGGTTTGATCATTTTGATCACTCCATTTCTAAAAGACAGTATTTCATATGAATTTTAACAAAAGGATATATCTACAAAATATGTTACTTCAGTACCTCTACTTTTAACATACTTTGTGCACTTCTAAACATCTAGAAACACTAGATGTTTCAAATAATGGCTTAAGTTTGTCCACTATATACACAGTAGTGTTGAATAAACTACACACATGTAACAATGGTTAGATCTGAAAATGTGTTCTACATAGGAACATTCTAATCTAGAACACTTCATTTCTCCCAGTACCTCCTTTCTGCCATCCATCCAACACTGGGCAAGTACAGGCACAGGTGTCACTTAGATGTGATTTACAATTTCACTTCCAAAGGCCCTTTTCAGAAGACGGCCTTTCAATGAATTTTAACACAAAGTGTCCTAAATGTGTTAGTTTACTAACTCTATTTTTGTCATACATTGGCAACCTCTTTAATGTCTAGAGACTAGATATTATAAAATTGGGACCCATTGGTCCAGTATATACAAAATATATACAGTAAAGTTAAACAAAATGCATGTAACATATAGAGCAATGGATAAGTTGAAATGTTCTAGTACCTGCTAGCAAAACATCTTTTGCAATCTTCCCTCCCACCTCCCTAAACCAAATGAACAAGCACAGAGTATACTGTTCAGAGAGGAGGTTTAACAATTCCATTTTCCAAAAACAGTATTTCCCATCAGTTTTTAAAAGCTATTTACAAGAAGCATTATACTACTAAAACTACTTTTAAATACATCAAGCACTTCTAAACATCTGGAAAGAATAAATATTTCATATAAGAACTTACTTGTCCACTATCCATATATTTTTCTCCTATTCCATTATAAAAGCAAAGGCTTTTGTATTTTCTTACCTCAGAGGTGTTAGAACCAAAACCAGAAGATACCTACAGAAAATCTCTTTTTGTGGTTAAAAAAATAATCTCACCCATAGATATCACAGAAGCTATAGAGCCACCAGATTTCAAGGGTAGTAAGCAGGCATGGACAATAAGGATATCATCACTAAATTGTTCCAGAACCACACAAGCCTCTAATAGTCTTCTATAACTTATGGGAATAGGAGGACCTCAAAATTTACTTGCATTTAACTTCTCACCAGCTCAGTGGGGTGAAAATTTGGAGTTGGATTTAATTATTTAATTAAATTTAAATAAAATAATGGATTTAATTAAAGTTAAATAAAATAATGTAGCATTTCCCACGCTCCCATTTGTGGAGTTCAGAGTTATACTTCCTACACGTATAGTAAGCTTGGCCACAGAAAAAATTTTCTCTCTCTATCCCAATTCTAACTCTGTAGGGAAGAGACTCTGAATAGCTCAGCTGAGTCTGACTCCTACCCCCGATCCAATCAGCTATGATCATAGGAATATTGTAATTATTAGAGATCATAGGAATAGTGTAAAAGTGATCATTATGATCATAGACATAGTGTAATATTGAAATACAGCCACTGGGAACCCTTATGATCATGTATATTGGGAATGTCATTTCCCAGAGGAAGTGGGGGTCATCTGTTTAAAATACCCACTACAACACCACCATTGGCTTCTTTCCCTTGGTCTAATCCAGAGGGTGTCATCATGTACCTAATTATTATCTGGTCTCTTCAGCAGCTTCAGTTTAAGTCACCTTTCATAAGTGATGCAGCTCCAAAATCTTACTATTTGAACCCAAGTATCTCTCTGTCTTACAGTTCCAAAGTTAATATCCTAAATTCCCAAATCCTCCTCTTGATGTCTACCACAAATATAGCCAATATTAATTGGCCTTCCAGGGATATGGACAGATATCCCATATAGATACCTAGTATACATATGCCCTAAAAAGAGGAAAGTCTGTCATTTCTAGAAACTTGACTACTAAGGGAGGTGCTGGGATGAGAGGTCCTGTTCATTCTACAGCATATGGGAAGATTTTTTTCAACTGAGCTTGTGCGGATTATTCATGTTTTTTGACTACCATCTGGTTATGTTTGTTTGCCTCACCCAGGTGTCTCTGAGTGGAAATACCAGATAATTTTTATTTATAAAACAAATATAACTTGATTTTTTCAGGCATTTATGTGGAAATACCAGATAAATATTGCAGAAATACCATGCAAATATTCATTCAATTAATCCAATCAACAAATATTTATTAAATGCTTTCTACTACTAGATACCAGTATATGTACTAAGTATACAAGCCCTCTCAATCCACCACTCTTAAGTGACAAGGTTATACATTGCACAAGCATCATTATACTGCATATAATATGATAGTATCACTCTAAAATGCCACAAATTTCCCCCTCACATTTAACTATATAAATATCCTTCCTTTCCAACAAAGCTCAACAGTGAATAATACATGTTGTTCAGAATATAACAGAATCATTATAATTCAAATAATACAATGACATCAATTTAAAATACTAATGACATTCTCCTTCAATAACAATACAACCCCTCACCCCAGAAATCTCACTACAAAGGTTATATATTTTATACTCTAAAAGAGCATCATCAAAACCAAACAACATATGACAGCGGCATAAAATGTCAACTATCCTCCATCCTCTAACATTTAAAACTATTAACTCCCTTCTATCAATTCAACCACTTCTTCAAAAATAAATTAAATGCCCAAAATATTTACAAAGAATCAGTTTTCTTCCCTTACCCTCTGCCTCGCCATTATCTTCTCAGTCTTCTCAGATCCAACTTTTCAAATTCCTGGTTGGGATTATTAGACAAATGTAAATCAAAACTACAATGAGGTGTCACCTCATACCGGTTAGAATGGTCATCATCAAAAAATCCATAAACAATAAATGCTGGAGAGAGTGTGGAGAAAATGGAACCCTCCTACAGTGTTGGTGCGAATGTAAACGGGTACAGCCACTATGGAGAACAGTATGGAAGTTCCTTTAAAAAACTAAAAATAGAGCTACCATATGATCCAGCAATCCCATTCCTGGGCATATATCTGGAGAAAACCATAATTCAAAAGGATACACGCACCCCATTGTTCAATGTAGCACTACTTACATTAGCTATAACATGGAAACAACCTAAATGTCCATCGACAGAGGAATGGATAAAGAAGATGTGGTACATATATATACAAATGAATATTCCTCAGCTAAAGAAGAAAATAATGACATTTACAGCCTTATGGATGGACCTAGAGATTTTCATGCTGAGTGAAGTAAGTCAGACAGAGAAAGACAAATATGATATGATATTGCTTACGTGTGGAATCTAAAAAAAGGGTAAAAAGGAAATTATTTACAAAACAGAAATAGAGTTCCAGATGTAGAAAACAAACTTATGGTTACTGGGGGGTGGGGGGGAGAGATAAATTGGAAGATTGGGATTGACATGTACATGCTGCTATATATAAAACAGATAACTAATAAGGACCTACTGTATAGCACAGGGAACTCTACTCAGTACTCTGTAATGGCCTATATGGGAAAAGAATCTAAAAAAGAGTGGATATATGTATATGTATAACAGATTTGCTTTGCTTAACACAACATTGTAAATCAACTATACGCCAATAAAATTTTTTTTAAAAATCCTGGTTTGAGCCCAGGTCCCTCCTTCAGTTGTAGACTAGGGTGTCTTCTGGTATAAGTAATGAGCCCTGCTGTTATATTATTTAAACCCCAAATCTCTCATGTGTCCTATAATTTTCAAGGTTTCTGATCAGATACCAAGAATTTCCCTTCTGGCATCTACACCTCCAGTAGATAATAACAAAAACATATTTCAAATAATGTATTTCTATACAAATTTCTTCTTACTGTCAATTCGGCTCTTAATCCTCCAGATAAAGTCCCAACATATATACAAGACTTTTTAAATATAGCTTTCATTTAAAATATTTAATTCCAGGGAGAGTGATCTCATTCTCAAGAAATTGGCTTGATTCTGGGTCTCTTTAGCAACTGCACACTGATATTTCTCCCACTGGAAGTGACAAAGCATCTCCAAAGTCTTTAGTGAGTCTCAGCTTTCTAAAGTTTAAAGAGCAGCTATTAGAGTATGTAAGAATATAACATCAGTCCCACTCTCATGAAAACTTGAAAACAAAATAAAATTCCTGAACTAAATGTGATCCTTGAAGTGGCTGAGACTCTAAAGAACCATCTCTTATATAAGAGCATTTCCCAAGGAAAAGTGATATTCCTAGAACTACATTTTTATTAGAAAAATAGTCCATAAGAGAGGCTTAATGTTATTTGGACAAAAGGGAGAGAGAGAGAATCAAAGAGATAAAAGAAGTGCTGGTCAATCCATGACAGCTTCTCAGATCCTACAAAGTATGAATTTAAATATCCCATTTAAAATCCACCACTCATTCAAAATACCTTCCCTCTTAAGAAGGGCACTTAAGAAATATTCCTATATTTTAGAAAAAAATAGAAATGTGTAATATTGCCACCTGTCTTTTTAAGTTTTTTCCTACAACTCCACCCTATGCACACTTTCCTTTAATTTCCAGTTTATATATTTAAATCTATTTTTCCACCGTGCCTGACATACTATCCATTTTGTCCTGCAACACAACATTTTCTCTTGTGCTCCAGCCCTCCTTTTTTCTGAATTAGAACATGTATACAGCGACCGATTAGGGTCCTTCCTTACTTACTTCCTGGACATGCTACTAGAGAATTAGTGTTTATGGCCGTATGCAGAATTAGTGTTTATGGCCACATGCAGAAGTGTCCAGATGCTCTAGAGACTGGCTTCTGGATAGTTCCTGGGCCAGTTGTTAGGATGTAGAGGCATGCTGACTGGCTGTTCCCCCTTGCAGATCTGATGAATGGCAGCTCTGGTCAGAAACTCCTGGGTGGGACAAACAAACATAACCAGATGGTAGTCAGAAACCATAAATAATTCTCACTTGCCCAATTGAAAAAATTATCCTCCCATTCATTGTAGAATGAACAGGATTCATCCCAACACCACCCTTATTAGTCAAGATTCTAGAAATACCAGCCTGACAGGTTTTCCTAGTAAACGAGTATACTAGATACTTTTGAATTTTATAATATTTGTAATTTTTATAAGGAAACATATACATATATATGGATTTTCCATATCTATTTTCTGAAGGATGGAGTTGTACTGGTATTGAGGGTGTTGCAGGGGTCTTTGGGGAGAAGAACCTATGAATATACACTGATCACCCAGAGAGTTGGGTGAAAATCAGGAGAACCTCTTACCTGCAATTATGCTGTGTAGATCTGAAGTAAGAATACAGACTATCAGGTCTGAAGGAAGGGGAAACATTCAAGCCAGAAATGCACGTACAAATTAACTCATCAAGCTTTTAAGTAGTCATGAGTTGAGGATCAAAAAGCAAAGGTGTGAAGCCAAATGGGGTTCAGAGATGTTGGAAACAAGGAACAGTAGGTCTAAACAAGAGAAGTGGTGCATATTTTTTAGAGAAAAGAGCATTAATCCATGGCTGACTTTTTACTAGCTAATTGTCTGTGTTTGCTCGCACAAGTGACTCCATTGAAGAGGCTGAGTTGGGATGAACTTTTGTCTCCAAGATACCCTTCCTTAGACAGAGTCTGGGGTTTTACAGGTTTACCCATAGAGAGCCCTAATGCTCTCTTGTGCATTCCTGAGGTGGTAGACAGTTAACATGACTTCTTTTGTAATTTGTACACATTTCAGGGAACCAGGTACCCAAGCTGGCTATTGTCTCACCATGATTACAGCATATTTTTCATATTATAC